AATAAAAATAAATAATAATTAAAAATAATAAATAAACAAATAAATAAAAAATCTATATTGAAAAACTAAATTACAGTCTTTCTGCTGTTGTTCCAACATTACTCTGCATCTCCACACACATTAAATATTATACTGCGTATATTCTGCTGATTTACACTGTGTTCTTGTGTGTTCCTGCTGGCAGAAAGAACCAGAACCAGAACCCAACCAATCAATCAAACAAAACACTTTGTTCAGTTCAGGAAAAGCTGCGGCCTCCGAGGGACACACACTCTGATCTTTGTGCACATTATGAAAAACATAATTGGGTATTAATGTGGTGATAAAGGAGTCTCCACAGAGCAGGAAATGGAATTACAGCTACATTATTAAGTAATCATTTTACAGCCACAATGAAGAACTGGCTCTGGGTGAAATCGGACCGTAATTGTTTAATTAGGTTTGTTTTTTAGAGATGGTGTGTGTGTGTAGCTGCTGCACAGTGCCAGTGATCTGATAAAAAATAAAAGCATGGATGTGTTTCTACACTAATCGTATTCACTGAGGAACGAAACCAGGTCGGGGTGTGAGACAGTACAGTTTGTTATTTATAATGCAGTAGGTGGCGTGTGTGTGTGTGTGTGTGTGTGTGTGAGGAGCTGCAACGTGCTCTCGTTTCCCTGATAAGACGTAGCATGCCAATTGAGGGATCTGGTGGAGACAAAGCTGAAGTCCAGGTTTAGGCCCTCTATCGGCTCTGTGCGTCTGTCTCATTAGCATAATCTCTTCTTCCCATTATCAGCTGCAAAGAGGAGCTGACCCACCACCGGCCTGTCAAACTTTATTCTCCTCCATCCCCGGGATCCTCATTGTGTTGCCATCCAAAGTGAGCGTGGAACAAACCAAGCCACTGGTGCTGTTCAGGTTGGCGGCCGCCGCTGTGGCGTCACGTGCACTTTCATTTACTTGTCCAATCGCTGTGAGCCACCTTCCCAGCTCTGCTTTTCAAACCCGCTCTCAGGTGACCCAGTTTTCATGAAATCTCTACTCTGGCGGGTCTAAACACATTTTAGTCAAGTGCAAATGAAACGCCACTAATGCAGGGCTTCTCACGCTAACTGTGGATATCTGTCATATATAAATATCATGAGGACTATTTATTGTTTTCTTAGTACTGCTGTTCACCGTGAGGTCTGTGGAATATTCAGTGCTGAGAGCCAGTGGACACGTAAACTGCGTGGACAGACACCACATAAGGACAGACGACATTTTGCTTTGTACTGAACCTTCAGCGGAACATTCTTCTGTGTTCTGATGTGCATGTGAAACAGTAAACACATCAGACGGACTGTGTGGAAACGCTGACATGAAGCTGAAAACACACACGATAACTGATCATCGTAACATCACCATCACAATTTTAGATTTCCACATTAAAAGCTTTGCACAAAACTTTCCCGTCTGCACTGTGAACACGCTGAGCTAACATCACTCCAGAAACTCTGGCAGCTTTGACAGGAAGTTGATTCAAAAGAATAAAAAAACAGGCAAACAAACAATACCATGCTTGAGGCCGACAGAGAGGAAGAGTCAGAAACACTGGGAGGCGAGGAAGCCTCATTTTCCCTCCCTCCCACCTCTGCCCTTCTCCTCCCCTAAACCCAGCAGCATGTGAAGGGAAAACAAATAGTCCATCCCGGCGCAGCAGCACCCCGAGGACTCTGAGGTGCCTTTTGGATAGCGATCCAGGCCCACTGCCGCAGCCTCAAGTGCCGTCATGGTGAGTTAGTGCCAAATTGCTTTGCAACCCCCCCGAACCCTCCACCAGCCTGCCAGCAAACAGGACACACACTCCATGCAGAGGCCTCTGTGAGGATGTGTAGGAGTATAAATATATAGGTTTGTACCTTGGGTTTTTGGAAAACAAATCTTTGCAGGGACTAAATGCTGAAAGAATTGATTTAATTAATGCAGCAGCATGTCCTGTGGCCACATGTAATCCTCTGAGGATTCTCTAGTGGGAGCTTTCAGCGCGGGGGGGGGGGTGCAGCTTGGGGGAACACTAAACATATTCTCCCTGAGACTCTTCCAGTAGCCTGTAATGGTAGCCGCACACTAATCCCATAATTCCTTGTTTAATTAAAGTACAGAGCCGACCCTGCAGTTGTCTAAACCAGTTTGATGGGCCATTTCTGTTTTCAGCAGCAGCCCAAGACCAAACACGTCAAAACGCTGCCCGCCACTCATCACGTTCAACACCAAGAATGCACTGCCCACAATCACCAATATTTACGTCAGACCTGCACATGTGCACACGTCCCAACACGTTGTTCACACGGGCTTCGTTAAAGGTTCCTACAGTCTCTGCTGCACTACAGTGCACATTCACATGCATCAGCTTTTTATTTCACCACACATATTTTTTTTTAAATTCAAAATATACCAGTGTTGCTTTGGTGTCTTTGTATCCTGGACTGATAAACAACCAGAAGCTTGTCCCAAAATCCCTGCATGGACACAATATATGTGTATTATATATATAAATATAGTATCAGCAACATGTCACTCAGTGTATTTGCATTCAGTAGCTGCCTCCCTCTAAAGCGCTTCATCATTACAGGCAGTCACTCTTTTATCCAGTTAAAACCTTCAGACTTTGCCACAGCTGCTGCCTCTTCTGTATTGTTTCTTATTTTGCATACACATTCATGTTTTTAAAGTCCCCCCCCCCCGACATTGTGAAGACTGATTTGTTTCTCCATCAACAGTCCAGTTCATTGTGTTCACATTTTCTTTCATATGCTGTAGAAGTTTAAAGCCATTCATTTCGCCACCTTGCCATCACAACATCAGTGAAATCCTCACGTGATGTCTGATCAGTCTTCATCTGGGCTGTGATGTCACAGTCCATGCTAACATCCAGTGGAGCATTTTATCTTATTACTGCTCCTCTGCCGTCCTGGCGAGAAGGAGTCATCTGATTTGAAATGGATATCTGCGTGCATCAGATAATCCTCCTTCTGAGCAGCAGCGTGGAAACATTGTGTGTGAGTGAAATCAGCTGCACAATAAATATTTTGGGACTATTTTCAGCCTGCCAGAGTGTTTGTCTGGGCTGCCCTGAGGCCCACGCTGAAAGAATGGTGCTACACACATCACCAAGGTGGTCTGGAGAGATTAGCACCCAGCTCTCAGCACTGTGCCCTGGGGGGGCTGGAGTATGCAGGGTTTGATAGAGAACTGTATTTACCAGGAGAAAGAAAATTGTTTTGTCATATAAATAACCACACAGAGGAATCATTGGAGGCGGTGCAATTTGAAGCTGTGTTTGAAGGGCGTTGTGAGCATGCCCGGTGCTGCGTTTGGGCTTCATCACTGACACCAGATGTGATCTGGCTTTGAACCACTGAATCTGTTACTGATAGACAATAAAAACACAATGCAACTGAAGAAGAGCAAGAGACTGAGAACATGATCAGACTGTCTGCATCAGTCCGTCACAGCTGCATGGAGGCATGTTACAGGAACCCAGAGTCCACCATCTGCAGAGAAAAAGTGATGTGGTCCTTCATCACATTCTCTACCAGCGGGGGAGTGCAGAAAGAGGACACTACAGACCTGAATGCTGGACCCCTACAGGGATCGGGTCCACTGACTCTGTTATGCTGTGGGGGAAATTTTTCTAGCCTGGTTTGGGTCCATAAGTCCCCTTAGAGGAAAGGGTCACTACAAATACAAAGCTGTTTATCCTACAATGAAATATTGCTGTCCTGATGGGAGTGGGATCCTTTCTGTTGCTCCTCTGTAAAAGTCTACAAGAACTTGATAATTTAACCTTCTTAAAGGGTCACTTCTGAATTTTGGTGTTTTTAACCCTTTAAAATACAAAGTCACAAAATAACACAAACACACAGCAGTAGACCACAGAGGTTTTGAGACCAAAAGTGCTTATGTAACTTAAATAAAAACCTTAAATGCTGAAATGATGTCTCAAACAAACATCGGTCTCCTGGTTGAAAGTCCGGTTTCTGGCCCTCCATTCACCCCAACCACCTCCTTACTCTGACTTACCTGTCAAATATCCTACACCTACGTTTACTGTCCACAACTGACGCTACATGGCTTCTCCCACTGCGTTGAACTATGACGCTTTGGGGTTCTCCAGTGCGTTACTAACGGATGCTGACAGGTCTTGACCATGCGTCTATGTGCGAGAATGGGAGTGAGGTTGCAAAAACAAGTAATTCATTGCCCGCAAAGATTACTGCAGACCATTTTCACAGCAGCTGACTGCATCAAGCTTGATCAATACTGGACCTATTTCAAAAAATGTTGTCCCAAGACACAAACAAAAATAAATAAAAATACAGAAGTTACCCTTTAAGTTTCTTTGAGCAGCTGTTTCTGAGCATTCACCTGATTCCTACATAGCTGTCTTCATCTTGTGGCCTGGTTTGGGTTCTTGGATGTCCCGGGTGGTTCTGAGAGAAAGTTAGAGAGGGGAGGAAGGTACGGATTTAGATTGCATGTCTCTTTGAGAGGACACTTTACTGCTGCATCAGCGACTATGAGAAATCATTACAACCATCATCCTGGCTCTTCTATTGGTGGTCTACCGTCTGTCAGTGTCAGGAGGACAAACTACGAATTTACTTTGTCAGATAATGTTTTGGAGGCATTGTAACTGCTGCCTGGATTATGATCACTCAGTCAGATTGAGTTTGCTCGGTTGCAATGGAAGTGTAAACCACTGAGCATATGGTCTGTGAGATGGTTGAAAACACAACCAGCAGTTAAATGCACCTTGGGTTGAGACGGTTTTGCAGCTTTGGGGTGGCTGAGGCTCCAGAGGTCGAGTGGCTTTTCTGTTAATCCCAAACATGAGCTGATCTGGGACAGTTAGACTGTACATCTCAGTGCTTTATTAATGTGTTCACGGTATGAAACTTGAAGCTGACATGAAGTGAACCCCCCCCCCCCCCCCCCCCCCCCCCGTTTGTCCCCTCTATGTGTTTGTCCAGGCAGTCGGATGGATGAAGTGTCGGACGTGGAGTCAGAGCCGGACCTCCCCCTGAAGAGGAAGCAGCGCAGGAGTCGGACCACATTCACAGCAGAACAGCTGGAGGAGCTGGAGAAGGCTTTCGAGAGAACCCACTACCCAGACATCTACACCAGGGAGGAGCTAGCCCAGAGGACCAAGCTCACTGAGGCCAGGGTCCAGGTAACGCCTTCACATCCACCTGTCCATCTGTCTGTCCATATATCCGTCCAGCCATCCCACTATCCATCCATGCGCTCTCTCTCTCTTGCGTTTTCTTTCTCCGCCATAAAGAAGCGTTTGATCCTGTTCTTCATGTTAAAGGTGCAGCTAGAGTCGATGAATGATGTTCAGGCAGATGTCAGTTTGAAAAAATGAAGCTCCTTCATTCATTTCAATTGTCAGGCTGACTGTCGAACATGGCTCTTGTTCCTGCAGAAGTTTGCGCTGTGTCAGCTAACACATAAGTGGACAGAGTGGAATACCCGTTAAGTAAATGTAAATGTTTGTTATGATACAACAAACCCTCCACCCTGTACGGATGAAGTAATATGGATCCGCATCTGGATATAGATCTGAAAACTGTCTCTTCAACTTTTATTTTCCCAATGACATTTTTTATTCATAATGTTTGTAGATGTGCGTCTCTGGTTATCTATGGGCCTAAAGGGTGGGTTCAACCAAATGACAACAAACAAACAAAAGTAGTTAGACAGTTAGGCAGCATCTCTTCCCATTAACCACAGAACACACCGAAGAAAGTTTTTTATCAAAGTTCACCTGTATCTGGGTGGAGACAGATCCTCTGTCCGTCACATTTCTTTGTCTCGCTTTGTTGGTGCCACAGATTCCTTTGGACAACATTTGGAGCAAGTGTCCTGTCCGCTGAGGAACTTTAGTTTCTGCTCTCAAGCCTTCTGGGTGACCTGTGTGACTGGATTTGTTTGTGTTGTACAAGACGTCACATTATTGTGAAGCTTTACTGAGGTCAACATGTACGTACAGTAAAATGCTGGAGACTCTGCCAGCTGTTCATGTCTCGGCTAAGGAACCTGTCTGTGGTTCAGATCCACAGAGTCCCAGAAAGAGATCTACCAACAGCTGTTAGGTGTTCAGCGTGGGTTGGGGGGTGCTGCATTCCTGATGTATGTCTCACTCCCCAACATCTTGGCTGGAATTTGCTTTTCCCACCACTCACTGTAAAGTTCACAACAGATCACAGGAGGGTCTGGGCTGTCTCACGGGACCTTTAATCCACAACAGCAATGTGGATCAGTCAAGACCCAGGACAACCAAGAGAGTGAGAAACCAGTATGGCATGGAAGCCAGCACATATCTGCCACTGAGGTCTACCTGCAGACCTCTACGTGACACGGGGCATCCTACACTTCAAGTTGAGAACAATTCAATTCAAGGTCCACGTTCTCACTTGTTCTGGAGCCTTCCACCATATCAAATGGCCCTCATCCATGTTGGCCATCACTGCTTAGAAATTTCTAACATGTATTGTTCCACAACAACTGAGCAATGCCAGACTGCTGATGAGGACTGGTTTGGTGGGAAGCTCCAGAGGAAGCCAGTAAGTGGATAGCTGCAAAGTGAGTCTCAGGTTAGATGTTGTGATGTATGTATAAATGCTCCATATAGCGCCTTTCTAGTCTTCTCAACCACTCAAAGTGCTTTTACACTACATCTGCATTCACCATTCACACACTGAGCCTAAGTGCTCAAACAGAAACTAACATTTACACACATTCATACACTGGCGGAACAGCCACCAAGGTCAATTCGGGGTTCAGTATCTTGCCCAAGGATTGAACCGCAGACCTTCCGATTAACGGCCAACCCGCTCTCCTGAGCCACAGCTGCCCCAACTCCACACTCACAGCAGCAGCAGCACACTGATGACCTGCTTTCAAACACTGCTTTCTTTTGTATTTTCCCAGACAAGATCTGCTCACATTTCAATAAACACAAAGAAAGAATGGCTTCAGGATTAGGTTTTACCTTAGCAGTTTTTTACAAGATCAAAAACAAACATCAAAAAGCAGCATCCTCCATGGCTCGGCAACAGGAAATATGGTCTTGCATGTCGTGGTGGACTGACCCCACCCGAACCGACCCCACCTGGATGAAGAGGCGTGCGGGCAGGTGGCTGGAGGTCAGACACTGTCCAATGAGTAAGCTTAGCTGAAGTCTCTCTGTAGTGCTACAGGTGGTGTTCAGTTACTGTTTGTTTTAATGTTTGTGTGTGTGTGTGTTTGTGTGTGTTGCATTTTGAATGGAAGTGTTGTTCTCAATAAGTGCTAATAAGAGTTTTAATTTGAGTGTAAATGTAAATGCTCCGTACTTGTATAGCGCCTTTCTAGTCTTTTCGACCACTCAAAGCGCTTTTACACTACATCTGCATTCACCAGTCACACACATTCATACACTGAGCCTAAGTGCTCAAACGGAAACTAACATTCACACTCATTCATACACTGGCGGAATAGCCGCCAGGGGCAAATCGGGGTTTAGTATCTTGCCCAAGGACACTTCGACACGCAACCAGGGGGAGCCAGGGATCGAACCGCCGAACACACCATGTGTGTTTTAGAGTTGATCACAAAGTGCAGAGCTGAAAGTGTGTGTGTGCTTGTGGTTTCTGTGTGGAAGGCACAGTTTTGGTCTAAGCATTCACTTTTAGTGTGTCAGAAATCAGGAAAGATTTATTATTGTTGTTTTATCTGTCTTTGTATGCTAACAGAAAGGAGAGCCTGGATGTTTCAATTCAACATAAATACATCTGACACAGAAATAGATTAATAATAGACTAATATAGGCCTTATTATCCTGGTTTATGTCTTCTAGTTTTGTGCATTTCATTTCAAAGCATTCAGTGGACACTACAGCGTTTTTGCACAGACAGCACACACAGAGCATGAGCTGAGATGCTGGAAGTGTTTTGATTTAATGAAAACTGTATCTCAGCTTTATCTCAAGCAAAGAACCTAAAATTGGTGTGAATGCTGTAAAGCATTCACAACATATGTCATTCTATGGCATTCCAGAACTCTTTATTATTGTTATTCCGCTTGTTTTTTGCAACCTATCACATTTTACGAAACGTCATTCAAGGATTAAAATATTCATCTCTATTAGGACATGCGCGGATGTTTTCAGAAATTTGATAACCTTCATACTTTTCAAGATATTCAAGGTTTTCCAGGCATTTCTTACCATGCAAGTGGATGGACGGAACGTTCAAAATGTCCCCATTTTCACACTTTTTCAAGGTTTTTCAACTATTATCTACTCATTCATACTTTCAGCTAGAAACTCCATTCAAATATGAAAAGTTTCCACATCTGTCCTTCTTTCTTCGTATTATTCAACTTTCGAATCCTATTCAAACTCTTCAAGCTATTCAACTGTCTTTGAAATTTGTTATAACTAGAAAAGCAATTTCCGAAGAAATTGCGATGTGAAAGCTGGCTGTTGAATAGCTTGCGCGAAACTAAATTGCTGGCTTGAAAAAAGTTGAATAGTACGAATGTATGAAAGATGTGGAAGGTTTTGAGGATTGTTGAAAAGCTGACCCTAAACTGCATTACCGGCTTTAATTTGCATGAAGGAGCTGATGTTCTTATCCCTGTAAACCCTGAACCATCAAACAATTGCCAGAAAATTCTATTTTTTTGAAAATGGAGTGCTTATTAAACCTAATGCCAAATTTAAAAAATAAATTGGATACCTCAAGTTTTATTTTGTGTTAGGCGAAAAAATTTCTCAATTTCTGCTTTCTTTCTAAAAATGCCTTCAATTAGTTTACTTAAATAATTAAAAGAGTGTAGCTTAATGGATGCATAATGAAGGATATGCAATAAAAGTGAGTTACAGATGTATACATAAATTACCATATATACCTTCTGTATCTAATTTGATACCCACATTTTCAGCATGATTTTACTTTAAAATACGTCATAAAATATTAGGTAACTATTAGGGCTGACCACTAATAGTCGAAGGTTCGATGCTTTGATGGCAGAGAAAGATTCGACTGTGAGATTGACAGTTGGATCTTTCTTCGCAGCAAAACAAGGATCGTGCCTTTTTGGCGATATGGGGGTGTTCAACGTCTGATTTTACATAGAACTACCAGTTTTCTCCCAATAAGTTAATATACAGCCCATTACGACACACATTTCAATGTTTAATGCTGTAAATAAACATGTAAAAAAAATTAAAACTTCCAATAAATGTTTTTAAAGTGCGTGAATAAATCCAAAATTGTAACCCTAACCCTGGGTCGTCAGTGCGCATGTGAAGGTGTAGCGTGTGTGTGGTGGCAGTGGAGGAACACTTGCTGGAGAGAGGGAGCCCCAGCTTCACGGTGTTGTGCCGAGTTGTCTGCACCTCGCAGGACTTTTGGATAATTTATCACCGTTGATGAACCATATAAATAATATTTTATCTTTTTAAATAGCCGGCTACTTGAAATAGACCCGCGAGGAACTGCGACGTGCATGCAGTTTTCGACCGCACAGAACGTACGCAAAACTCACATAACACCGGTGAATGACAGGCGAGAGAGGGACATAGCAAAGGGTCAACGATAAGGCAGTTTAGCTGGAAATTTACAGTGTAAGTTGAATGAATAGAGACTGCAGCTCTGCAGCTTTTCAAGATTAAAGCGGAGCCACCATGTGTTACCCCAGCTCGCAATCGCCGTGCACAAAAACACACATGATTCAACTATCAGTCGGCTATAGGCAGGACTTGATGATTCTGATTTGACTATGTAAATCCTTAGTCGGGGACAGCCCTAGTAACTATACATGCATACTATGCTTCAATCCAGTAAATATTCATATAGCAGTATCCAGAACAATTTGAATGTTTTTCTCACCTTAACTTCTTGAAAATTTGAAAATTTCCTTGCAAAACCACCTGAAGGTCACCAATTGACAACCTCCACTTTGGCTGTCAACTGAAGGACCTATCTTGGACAAATTTCGCCCCCCTGGTGGATTATCCGTGTGTTGAATGTTTCTGAGTGTATACATCGGGTTTTTTGAGGAAAAAAATACCACACTGATGATGTAGAGGTCTCTAAAACTCATGTATCATATATGACACACAATTTTAAAATTGAATAAATCTCAAATTGCACTAATAAATGTAGAACATTTGAAGGTTTGAATGTAGTTTTTAGCTGAAAGACATGAAAAAGTTGAAGACATGTGAGAAAGTCCCAAGTGTTTTGAAGAGATGACCTGAAATCTTTAGAAAGGAGTATGAAGACTTGGAAAAGATTACACCCCTCATGCACGCACACGTGCATTATGGGAGGTGGCGTGGTGTAGAACCACATGGTTTACCTGGCCTCCTTCAGCCCTCTGATAATGATAAGATTTCTGTCTTATGAAAGCCATTGCAGGCTCGGGTTTGGTATCATGTGGTATCATGTGAATCTTGAAGTATACCAAACGTGTCACAGTCAGCTTACTGGGAAAGGGTCAATCTAAAGAACTGCTGATATCAGCTGAAACCACCCTTAAACTAATTGTGCTCACCTGTCTTTTGAAAGAAAATAGTCAGTTTGCTTTCTTTCACTTTCCTTTCTTACATTACTGTTTAGTAACCGATTTCCCTTTTTGGGGAAAGACATGGCTTACAGCATCACCAGCTTGGTTAGCTGTGTTTAGAGACAAGAGCGGACTTAACCATTTAAGGTTTCATCAGCATGCTGAGCCAATAATAAGAGACAAAGTTAAACACTGCAGAGCTCTGATTGGTCAGAGAATGGTCACTTTTATAGACAGAAATAGCAAACTTCTTTTTTATTTCCAAACTCTCCTGCTCGTCCTGCAGTCTTGTCTTGTCTTACTGCCTTCAGCCTGTTGTGAAACTGTTTGTCGTGTTGCCGATGACATCACTGCAGCTTCATGCGGCATCCAGCTGAGCTGTAGTTAATGAGGCTTTGGGGGTTAGTCTCATCTTTAATGTGTGCACAGTAAGAGCAAACAAATGACTGAGGTCTTTAGAAAGAAGAAGAGAAGCAGAGGTTAGGTCAGGGTGGTGTGGTGTTGTTACTGAGTCACTGCTGACCATTACTATCTGACCCAAGACAGTTTTATAGTTAAACCCATTTGGTTAAGAATTAGTTGTTGTTTTTGAAACATGAAACACATATTCTGAATTATTTACTGTAACAAACAGGTGCCCCTAACTGCACTTATGTCCTGCCTTTCTAAATCAAGCAGCTGAATAATGAAGCCTCATGTTGTGTAGCTGTGGTCAGGAGGAGGGGAGACTCCCTCATGTCTCTGCACAGGGAGTCAGACTTCTACTTCTCTTGCAGTCGAACCTCAGGGCGACAACACCTGCTCTAATTATTCGAGTCTCCTCTACAGAAATAGAAGCCCAAATGATCTCCTGCACTTGAAAGGCATGTTTTCATTTGCTCCAAATGAAAAAGGAGGATTCCTGGAGAAACTGGATGGCTGGAGAGCTGGAGGCAATGCATAGTGTGTGTGTGTGTGTGTGTGTGTGTGTGTGTGTGTGCTTGTATTAACTCATGTGAGTGCCATTGTATGGATTGATTCAAATGATTCACATGATCAAACTGCAGTTACCTGTGAGTGCTAATGCAGGGCAGCGACAGACGGGGACAGGCTTTGAGCTTCTGTCTTTGACTTGGCTTTAATTAACAACTTGGAAATGAGTTGAAGAAGTGGAAAGTTTAGCTTTTGGCGATTCACACCCACCTGTAATTTCACTATCTGCCTGATTTAACTCACTTTACTGGAATAGTGAGTAGGTGTGTGTGGAAGTCATGTGACCAGGTAATCAACTCTCTGTCTACCTGCTTTAGTGTGTACATCTGAATGAACTCTTCAACTGCTAACATGCTCACAGCAACAACTGCAGCAGCAGACAAGCTCAGTGGACTTTTTTGCCCTGGGTTTTGCCTCTCAGGCTGCATGAATGCATGAATGTGCCACTTCAGAAGGAAGTGGCACACTCTTTTGATATAAATGCAGTTTTTAATTGAATTTGGCCGAAGAGTATTCACTAAGAATATTTTACACGCCGCTTGCAGGACAAACTGCACTCAAATGGCGTGGAGGTTACTGACGGCGTGACAGAAAAGTATAAAAGTTTATAGATGTCCATCAGGGGCGGACTGGGACAAAAATCCATCCCTGGCACTGTAGCCATGCCAGCCCACCTTACCACGTATTCCCACGAACACACATTCACTACTTTTGCTGCATTTGTTTACAGATGGTGATATAATATAATATATATATAATACAGAGTCGGTCTAGACCTGCTCTTTTATGAAAAACGCTGTGAGATAACTGTTGTTGTGATTTGGCGCTATATAAATAAAATTGAATTGAAAAAAAAAAGTTGAATAATATAAGCAGTCTACTGTATGTCTACTGTCAGACTGTATGTAACAGCAAGTGCGTCACTTTGTGTTGAAAAGAGCTGGTGACAGAAGGTCTGAAAATAGGGGTGTGATGAAAGACTTAGATATTTTAACAATATTTCAAATAAGTATTCGATGATAAAATGTATGAGTGGGGGATCTAGGGGTCTTCCCCCAGAAGACTTTGAGCATTGAACACTTAATTTCCTGTATTCTGGAGACATTTTCTGCACCAATTTATAGAGTAAATGTCTTTATTTATATGAATGGCAGCACAAAATTCAGCAGGTGACAAAACATATTTTAACCAATTTCGCTTTCAAAAAGTGATGGGAACATGTCCCCAGCGACCATAGTGTAAATGACACCAATGGTAACAAATTTGTAATATTTTGCATGTGACTGGCACACAATCCTCAATAGTTTTGTAAGAGCACACAACAAATTTGCACATGCAGTTAAGCAATGGCTGTTCAAGTATGTTGTAGAGTCTGTGCTCTCTGTCTTTCTGTACTGCAGAGTCAATTACAACCCAAACATTTTTGTGTGACTTTTTTCTTCCTACCTCTACCACACTCCCTGTCTCTCCTAGGCTTACAGTAGCATCCTTCCTCCCAGCACTAGCCTACAAGAAGACCAGGGCTCTCTGGCTGTACCGATTCCAGCAACATCCATGAACACAGTAGCCTATAGAACATTGCAGAAAAATGTTTTCTCACACACTGCTCTCAACATTGGAATACACATGAATAAAAATATTACTAACTAGCCTACTTAATTCTGCTCTCCTTGCCTTCACTTCTAATATTTCCACACAAGCACGGAACATACACCTCTGCTGCAAACACAGCTGCTTGCCCTACCTATTTCTTTTTCTCTTTCCCTGTATTTGTCGGCCCTCTTGACTTTCTCCATCAGCAGTGGGCTGTTCTATAAAGTGGCTGAAATGACACAGCACTCGTGATTTTCGCCCGCAATACCGTTTTCACCCTCGGGTGCTCGGAGGAGGCTTGTTAATGAGGAAGCCAATCGAAACTGAAACCAACATTGTACCCAGTTGCACCTGCACCAAAGTGTTCACTGTTGCTTTACCTGGTCCATGCTTGTGAAATATCCACCTTCTGAGTCTTATAATGTAATGGATGATCATTTCTCTCAGTGTTTCTCTGCAAAATGCTTAAATGGGTCGTCAGATATTTTGGGCAGCCCTTAACGTACCTCAACGGCCGCCCAGGTAAATCTGATGTGTGGAAAACACTGATATTAAAATCAATCTGACCGGCGCACCCCGAAACAAATAGTCCGTCCCCTCTGGCATATGCCAAGAATTGCCAGGTGGCCAATCCGCCCCTGATGTCCATGAATGAGTCCAAGTGAGGTTGAAGCATGGACAGGAAGTCCAGTGTGCTGCTAGCTGTTTGGTCCTCACAGCTCTCCTTTGGAAGGAAGATGGCACCTGTGGAAAGGTGTCGGCTCACTTCATTCAGCAGTCGGTTGCTGACAGGGCAGGATGAGGATATTTGGATGGATGTTTAGTCCTGTACATGTTGAGGCTGTTGGGGCTGTCTCTTCTTGTGGTGGTGGCAGCGGTCGGTTGTATGGCGACACCAACCTTTGCTGACTGGGAGGGGTTTTTACACTGCCCACAGCGGGTAGTGCTGTCTGGACCATCACGTATCAGACAGTTTGTTGGCTGCTGAAAGATCAGGTTCTCTTTGCTTCTTAGTGAAATGGGCATGGACAAATATGCTGATGAGTGATACAAGAAGTGTGGTTAGTATTACATTTCCAAGAGTCCTTTGATCGTAGTGAAAAGCTACTTGGTATCATCCGTCAGCTGGAGCGAAATGTGGAAATTCTTCCACAGTGCAGCTAACGGTGGCTGTGCTAACAGCGCAGCTAACAACAGCGGTGCTCCCTCACATCATGGCTCACGAGTTTGTCTCTCAGACTCTTGTTGGACGCAATCTGACAGACCTGTGGACACTATAGAGGCTGAAAAACAAAACTTGAAATCTACTGTGTTTTTGAAAAAAGTCTTAAAATGTAGCTAAAGGTATTGTATCATGAGTTCATAAATGACAAACTGGAAAATCAAGCAACATTAATGGAACATGGCTTAAATGTTATGAAGAGGTAGTTCTGAAGGGCTTTTAAAAATGTTTAGTTTGGTGACAGGCCTCTGGAGTCAATGTAAAACTCTCACATTGGAAGTGTGGTGGGTGCTTTGATCTGTCATGTGTGAAGGGATTTTGACGCCTCCCCTCCTCCCCTCATCTCCTTCCCCTTTGGCCTCTATTCATACTGTTGAGGCTGCATTCACTGGTCTCAAGTCAATGAGGAACAATGCATGATTAACCAAACTCACTCCATTTACATATAATAAGTGTAAACACACTTCAATGACACACCATTTACTTTCTCTTCCAGACCAAAGATCATTCCCCTCTGTTTGTTTTTACTCTTCTGATGTAGTAAGACGGAAAAGCCTCATTTTGTGCTGACCCCTGCTGGTTGAAACTCTTTCTTACAGGATGAAAGAAAGAAAAAAAGAAATTCACAGGACTGATGACTGAGGACTGATGCTTTTTGCTGTTTTTCAGGTGTGGTTCAGCAATCGAAGGGCTAGGTGGCGAAAACAAGCAGGAGCCAATCAGCTAGCAGCATTCAACCACCTATTGCCAGGTGGATTTCCTCCCACAGGGATGCCAACACTTCCTACGTACCAGCTGCCAGAGTCCGGCTACCCCACCAACACTCTGCCCCAAGGTACCACACGCAACACTTTCACAACAAGTGTCTTTTAAACGCACTGGGGACCCCGTTAGTGGGATTTTTCAACACTACAAGCATTAAATGTCAGGTCAGTATCTGGTGACGTAAAGAGCAACAAAATCCACACAGGTGGCGGAAGATATGCAGGTCAAACAAACACCGGACTCTGACCCAGAAGGCCAGTGTTTGTTGACTTCGTTTGACAACTTAAGCTAAGTTATGTAAGTTATCTAACTTAACTAACATATTATTTTAACCCAAATCCTGATGTTTTCCTAAACCTAAACCTAACCAAACATGGAGCATTTCACAAAGTCTAACCTAACGTAGCATATTTACGGCTTCTATGTTTGTGTGTTTTAGTTATTAGGGTTCATACTGCGTAGCGTTAGAACCCTTCTATGTTTGTGTGTTTTAGTTATTAGGATTCATACCGCTACGCAGTAAAACCCTTCTATGTTTGTGTGTTTTAGTTATTATTATTATTTGTTGTCTGCCGCGCCGGCTCAAATTCCCATGAGCTGGAATGAGCTAGAAACATGAAACTTGGGGGAATAACTGGAAATGGTGTGCATCAGCTTCCATAGAAAGATGAACTCAATCGGCCACATGGTGGCGCTGTAAGGCCACGCCCCTCACGCCGTAAGTCCGATTGACTTGAAATTTCTCTCAGAGGTGCAGCTCAATGTGCTCTACAAAAAAGCCTCTGGGACCATTAGGGCCTGTGTCCACCAAAGCATTTTTTACCAGCTGGAAGTGCCACCTGCTGTTCTGAAAACGCCTAGCTGGGAGCGCTAGGGTGCGTTTTGGAGGGTTTTTTTCGAGACGCTGTGGTTGCTATGATACATCATTTCTGTGGAGGCGATATGTTGCAAGTAGGGTAGCCTACTTAATTTGAGTGAATGTAAAAATGTCATGTGGTGTCCGAACAATAATGCTGCGATGATGTGTTGAGAAGAAATCTGCTTGACACTGTTCTTGATCATAAAAGTTTATCAAATCAAGGAGTTCAGCATCAATTGCAAGCTCTGCAGCAGCTTGGAGAGAGACCCAGCCCGATGGCCACTCTGTCTCTCTGTACATCAAACACAGCTTATATAGGACATGTTTAGGTATCTGCTAAATACCGTATAAAGGTCTGAGTCTGCAAACTAAGGCTCCAATCCATATAAGAGCAAAGTTCTATAGGATAAGTGTAGACAACTTGTTGGACACCAGATAAGGGTCTGAGCCTCCACGTAACCACTGACCTCTGCTCTGATCACTATCACTATCACTAATCCTCTATCCAGCTGCTACAGTGCTATGTTAAACTGTAAAGGTCAAATGCACATATGTTATACACCACAGTCACCACAAAGTATGTAGGCCTACTTGCTCTGGCTCTTGCTCTGCATGAAAAGAAGGCTGAGACATGAGAGCACAGACTGTCCGTACGTGGGTTCATGAGATTTTGCGGGCGAGGAAACACCTCGGCAAGTAGGCACATCGCTTCGTTCAAGATCGGATGTGCTCGGTGCAGTGTTTGTCCCGCCCCTCCTGCACTGTGATTGGACGGCTGGGTAAAAAATGACAGTGACGAATGCAGCGTTTTTCCCAAAGTTGAACATTTTTCAACGCTCAACGTTCAGCGCCCGGCGTGAAAAGATGCTCAGAGCCTTGTCACGCTTCTGCCGTTTTTACCAGCTAGTAAAAACTGGAATGCTCCCATTGGAATGAATTGAAAAAAGACCCTGGCGTCAGAGAAAAACGCTCTGGTGGACACGGGCCCTTAAGGTCTGCCTATAAAATCTTTCCGCCATTTTGAATTTTTTGAAAATCACATTCTCCTCCTAGACCATAGCTCCGTTTGCCACCAAATTTTCAGTGAATTGTCATTGGATCAAGCCTATTAAAAGTTGTATAAAGCATGTCGGTATCTCGATTACTTTTCAAGATATGGACCAATGAACTTTGAAAGGGGCGTGGCTCTGGACATGAATGACCACAAATCAGCCATTCATCACAAAACTCACAGGATATGTTCAGATAGGACAGACAAATCAGGCTACAAAATGCATATTGTTTGTCCAGTCAACACAAAACTTGCAGTCTGTCTACATCAGCACCTCACACATACCCTGAAAGTCTCATTCAAATCCACCACGAGGGGGCGCTATAAATGCATCGTAACTGGATGTGGAATGATACAAATCAATCAATCAGATAATGCTTGTCCAATCGTTACAAAACTTGAAGAATGTGTTTCGTAACAATATTGAACCTTGTGTGTGAAATTCTTTTGATGGTGATATTGCGAAAAAAGGTATGAACCCGCGAATCGCCGCTTGTGGCTATATTTCTTATTGTTAATTTGACAGCGGGGCCCTGGGAATAAACTTGGTGAGTTAAAAAAGGGATGCTAAGGTGTTAGATGTTCCACAAAGAGCCTCCCAATATGCTTCAGTGATGTTTGTCATAGATTATACCTCATAGATATAGGGGAACACCCCGGACTGAGATTATTTCTATACTACAAATCAAGATGCTGATCGAACATTTAGCTGCTAAAGAGGCAGATACTTTCCTCAAGAATTCTCTTTTATTTCTATAGCGCCTACTCATGGCAGAAGTTATGTCGTTGCACTTTTCTTAGAGCAGGTCCAGACTGTCCTCTCTGTGATATTATCCACAGAGACCAAACACCATCAGCACTGTTGGTGGAGTCCAGCTTGTTTTGGTCTTCTTCTTCCTCCAAGGGCCCTAAAATTAATTCATGAGGCTTTAACTAAGGGTCCTTTCACACCTGGAGTTCTGTTTATTGGTCCAGTCAAAGGGGGAAAATTAGGGATGTCCTGGTCAACTTTTTCTACACCCAATCCTAATTTGAGTCCTTTAATGGTGGATATACCAAGTCCAGCTAGCGAGAAACAAGAAGGCCCCCCCTGTTGAAGCCATTCAATCCACAGAGATGAGAGTGGAGCTTCTTCCCTCACAAATGATCTTTGGCAGAGTACAGACACTGGCTGCAGCTTTAAAATATGTGGACATGGGCCCTGTTAGCGATCAGCTGAGGACATGCCTTTACTTTTAGCTCCGCCCCGATTTGTGTTCACTCTGACTTACTGACAATTCAAGAGCTAAGTTATACAGACTGACAGGTAACTCATTTATTGGACAGTTCTGCATCATCACATGCAGCCCTTTGATGCTTCTTATGTATGTAGATGATATCTGTTCTCTGGTGTCACAGCAAGCACACATGGAAACAAAAGGTTTATGAGAATGACTAGTTATATTAGACTGCAGAGATGTCATGTACATGTGTCATGTACAGCATTATTCTAATCACTGTGTCACACACTTTTTAATGGCCAGTATGTGGAGTAAGCACAGCAGAACACAGGTCTAACTGCTTATGACTGTTTGATCCTGCATTTACGTGCTGATCCACGTGAAGAACAGTACACAATCAGCAGATTGATTTCATTGAGGTCGCCGGTTCAATCCCCGAACTGGCAGGATAAAATCTGGGTGTGGAACGTAAACCAAGCAGTGCTTGCCCCCCCTCATTTACCACCACTGAGGTACCCTTGAGCAAGGCCCATAACCCCAACAGCTCCAGTGGAGCTGCTTAGTGGCCAGCAGACCAGGCTGTGGTTGTACTGGGCAGCTTCCAGGTGTGAATGTGATCAGGGCCTTTCTGCAAAAGAGAAGCTTCCTCTCAGTGAAGCTCCCCTGAATAAATAAAGGTAAAAAAGACAAAAAAACAATTGTAGTTTAGTACTTTAAAGTAATAGTTTAGTTCTACTATTCTGAAATTGTGAAGTTGGGCTACTTGCTGTCAGATGGCCCACAGCAGAGTCAGCCTGGAAGTAGACCTTCCTTTTTAAAATCCCGGATGGGTTGTTTGGTTCACACCAGCCGAACTGAACTGCACTAACAGAGAAAACCTGTGAGCTAGTCAGTCCCAGGCTGCTCCTACAGCTCAGTCCTAGTCACAAGCTTATTATTACTGAACAACATCAGACTGGGGTTCAGGGAGGGTTTGATGGTACTGTTGTGTTTTGCTCTTTAGACGGCAGTGGGACAGTTCACCGTCCCCAGCCGTTACCTCCATCCACCATGCACCAGAGCGGTCTGTCCAGCACTGACAGCAGCTCGGCTTACGGTCTGGCCTCCAACCGCCATGGCTTCTCCAGCTACTCCGACACCTTCATGAGCTCTGCAGCACCAAGCAACCACGTCAACCCTGTCAGCAATGGACTCTCCCCACAGGTAAGACCTGCTGGACTCACACTGATGCATGAGGATGTGTATTCATGGTAACATTAACTCAGTCGTGAATCAAGTAAAGTAGATAGAACTGAACGCCATTACTGTAATCCCAGTAATGCTCTGGGACAGGGTCTGGACATTTTGCTGGGTGGCCTTGCTGGCAGACAGGACGGTCCATCCTCTCGTAGTATACATGTGTGAAGCAGTGTTTTTCAGCTGCACTGGGAGTCCCCCTGTATTGCTTTCTCACTGGTATAGCTTTTGGTGTTGTGTGTTGGACAGAGAGGACACAAAAGCAACGCTCCGGTGAAACAGGTTTTATTGAGGGGAAAAAGGGAGGTGAGGGAGAGGAACATGGGCACAGGGGACCAAGCAGCAAGTAGGGCAGAGGGGCCGAGGAGCAGGCAGGACCAAGGAGGCTGGGTGGCACCGGGGGCCGAGGGAGAGAGGAGGCACGGGAAAACTGACCGGGCGGTTGGTGGAGGAGTGTGTTGGCAGGCTGACCGGGAGGCACGAGGGGGGAGGACACCGTGGAGAAGGTCCGAGGGGAGAGGGCAGGTTGGCGAGCCCAGCTGACACAATGGGAGAGGAAGGTGAGTGAACCTGGGGAGAGACAGACAGGGTTAGTGACCGAGAAAACAGAGAACAGGGATGTTACAAGATAAAAAGCCTGAGTCAAGTAGTGGCACCAGGTTTGGAGCAACGACGATCAAGCAGCGATTGTGTGGAGAACTGCGGTTGAAATACTGGCAGGGATGGAGTTGATTGCTGGCAGGTGTGGCAGGCGGAGGAGGTGGCTGACGAGGTGCGGACTGTCAGCTGGGCTCAGGAGCAGAGAGAGAGAAGGAGAACACAAGCAAGGGGAGCAGAGGCGACAGACAGGCAGGCCAAAACACAATCACAAGAAAAAGAAATAAACAGGACACTCACCGTCAGCCGGGCTGGTCACATGTAATCCAACATTTACATTGTTTCCTGTTCTCCTGTGCTTCTGGTTAGTTTTCCATCATTGGGTTGTTCTAGTTGTTTGTTTCTAAGTTGTGTAAATGTATAGATATATACTGTATACAGGGATACATACCATTACCATACCACCATTTTTGTGAAGCACCTTGAATCTCCCCTGGAATGAAATGCAGTATATATATATATATAAGTTTACTTTGCAGCAAACACTGAGCCAGGTTCAGATTTTTGCCAGAGCCCTCTTCATGAGTACCCCACTGTGGTAACGCAGGGGCATCATCAATAATGACTGAAGGGGCTGTTTCTCCCAGGAAGAACATGCTCATTGGGCAACTCTGCACCTCACAGTGTCCGTCCAATGCCAACGTTTGGTGCCACGGCAGGTATTATGTGTACTGGATGAAGATCGGGGTTAGGGTAAGGGTGGTATTACATCTGACTTCCATGCACAAGACCGGAATTCATGCTGTGTCACAAACCTGCAATTAATGTTTGTCTTTTTATGATCTGTCCCTATCTGCTGTCAGAGACATGAGACAGGGCTTTTGGTGGACACTGGACATAATCCAGGGCTTTACAGAATCAGTACTAATGTTTCTTATTCATGCAGTGATAAGGTTGGTGTGAACACAGCTGGGCTGCAGTGCAGTTTTCTGTGGACATCAGCGTCGTTGCTGTGAGCCTGACTGCCATACGTCTTCACTTTAAATCACTCACACAGCTCGTCTCATTCACAGAGAGCTGGCAACAGAAATTCTGTGTCAATGTGTTTGTGTGTCCACCCCGACAGGGAGGAGGGAGGGATTCCCTGTGTTATCCTGTCTTGGTCTCTTGAACAATACCCATCCAAATGAGACTTTGTGTGCTCAGGAGGGATTGTTCTCTGAGGCAGAATAGGCGACTAGCTCATATCAATACACATCACTGGCTGAAGGAGAAGAAATGTGATGCAATTAGTCACAAACACTGGGCAGTGTAGCCCACCCCGAGCAGCAAGATCCTCTAACAGGCAGAAAATAAGATTGAAATGGTGTTTACAAAGAGTTGTAAAATGAAATTCAACAGCACATTTGTCTGCAGTGACTCTCTTATTCTTCATATTTTACTGACAGTTGTTTTCTCTGAGCTGGTTGGTCCATGTTTCCTTCCTCCTGTTCTCTGAGAAGACAGACGTGAGGATTTGCAGACAAAAAGAGATTTTCCGTTGTGCTGGAGAGTTGGGGATAACAGAGGTGTTTCCACAGCACATGTGTTTATTAATCGTTGTGTTGGGGCTTAATGCTACAAAAGACGTCTGCATAAATATCAGGAGCCATAGCCGCCTTCGTTTACTACAATCATACATCCTTTCTGTAAGAAAACGCAGCACTGGTTTACATTAGGGATTACCAGACTGAAGGAAAATATATGTATTTATACTGAATATGTGTATATATTTTTATAATGGGAGAATTAAAAATGATCTACATGGATTATAATTAATTCTACCTAGGGTGTGATTTGTGTTGGGTATTCTTTCCGTATTATTACAGCCCAATCTCACAAATCACACATTTACAGTGTGGACATCATGTGACAGCGTTGGTTCTCCACTCCAAGGAGGAAAACACCAAACATTAGAGACACAGAGCTGACCTCAGACAAGAAAAGAAAGTTTTTGTAGAAAATACTGCCAAACATAAATGCCAACATGGTGCATGCATTAATAACATCTTGTAAATGTGCACTTACCTAAAGGATTATTAGGAACACCACACTACTGTGTTTGACCCCCTTTCGCCTTCAGAACTGCCTTAATTCTATATTCTATATTGTATTGATTCAACAAGGTGCTGAAAGCATTCTTTAGAAATGTTGGCCCATATTGATAGGATAGCATCTTGCAGTTGATGGAGATTTGTGGGATGCACATCCAGGGCACGAAGCTCCCGTTCCACCACATCCCAAAGATGCTCTATTGGGTTGAGATCTGATGATTGTGGGGGCCATTTTAGTACAGTGAACTCATTGTCATGTTCAAGAAACCAATTTGAAATGATTCGAGCTTTGTGACATGGTATCCTGCTGGAAGTAGCCATCAGAGGATGGGTACATGGTGGCCATAAAGGGATGGACATGGTCAGAAACAATGCTCAGGTAGGCCGTGGCATTTAAACGATGCCCAATTGGCACTAAGGGGCCTAAAGTGTGCCAAGAAAACATCCCCCACACCATTACACCACCACCACCAGCCTGCACAGTGGTAACAAGGCATGATGGATCCATGTTCTCATTCTGTTTACGCCAAATTCTGACTCCTATTTGTAGTGGAAATGAGTGGTACCCGGTGGGGTCTTCTGCTGTTTTGGTACCGAGGTATGCTTTGCTGCATACCTCGGTTGTAACGAGTGGTTATTTCAGTCAAAGTTGTTTTTCTATCAGCTTGAATCAGTCGGCCCATTCTCCTCTGACCTCTAGCATCAACAAGGCATTTTCGCCCTCAGGACTGCCTCATACTGGATGTTTTTCCCTTTTCACACCATTCTTTGTAAACCCTAGAAATGGTTGTGCGTGAAAATCCCAGTAACTGAGCAGATTGTGAAATACTCAGACCGGCCCGTCTGGCACCAACAAACCATGCCACGCTCAAAATTGCTTAAATCACCTTTCTTTCCCATTCTGACATTCAGTTTGGAGTCCAGGAGACTGTCTTGACCAGGACCACACCCCTAAATGCATTGAAGCAACTGCCATGTGATTGGTTGATTAGATAATTGCATTAATGAGAAATTGAACAGGTGTTCCTAACAATCCTTTAGGTGAGTGTATATATACCTTAATATAGTGTGTTATTTATTAATTTAAATTTATGCATTTAATTTAAAGAGAATTCAGGTTTGAAGAGATTAAAATGTGCTGCCCCCTTCTACAAACAGATGAAATCTTGACATTGTTATTCTTTCTTATTTTCTGCAGTTTGGTTGAAATGTTAAAATCTGAATCATCACCCTGTTCAGCCTTCAGGTGTGTTTATGAGCTTACCATCCGCTGTCATGTGTTAGCACAGAGCACCAACATATGAGCATATGAATAAGAATTTAAATCTAAACAGCTCCAGTAAATTCGTTTGATTGAAATGTTATTCATCCCTGACATGAGATGCATTCTGTATTTATTGTCCTCTCGCTCTGAAAGAGTCCCAGTAGCAGCAGAAGCTTTTCCATTATGGGTTCACTGCTGCTGACCCTTTCATCGTGTTCCCAGGCATTTACATGAGATAACAATGTAGAGGGAGATTTCCTAAGATCCCACTTCAAAATTGCAGGAAGCCCATATGCTGTACGTCTGACAGGCAATAATTCAATTTGAAACAGCTATATTGCATTTGGAATGTAATTCACACAAGCCATTTCTGCGCCGCCTCCTCTCAGACTGAATGGAAAGACTTTCATGTGGAGATGGAGTGTGCAGCCAATTCCAAGTCTTATTGACAGAAAGACAAAAATGACAGTATGAAATGCCGTCGCTGTGATGGCACTGCATGTGTAAATAGAAACCCCCACCTTGCAGAAATAAAGCTTCTTTTTTTAAACCACACGTTTTGACAAATTCCCATAAATCTATTTTGCTTTGGAGCGCTCTGAGTTCTTCCTTCAGTCAGACAGCCACTGATGCTGGACCGCTAATCCTTTTCTGTCAGGTCAGACAACTTAGTGACCTGCCACTGCAGATGAAACTCTTACTTCCCACAGTGACCCCGACACATCAACACATCACAGTGAGAAAGAACACATTCCTCCTCGCGCTCTCATTTCCTCCCGGTTTGTTGTGAGAGGAAGATTTAGCCTGCTTTGGAATGGAGGAGCTCTCTGGCTCGCTATTTGATGTCGGGGTGAGAGATAGAGAGAGAGAGAGAGGGGGCGAGTAAGGATAGAATAGAGTGGCTTTCAGTGTTGGGGGATCAGAGCTGCTTTGGTTCTCCAGCTCTGTCTCTTTGATCCATATCCCCAGGCCTGCCTGCCTGCCTGCCTGCCTCGCTAACTCAGGCCTCTGCT